GGGGGGGGGTTGTAGGTTCCCATCGAGAGCCCATAGGTGCAGAGCCCACAGTTTGGGCTGGGGGTGCCATATCGTCCTGTTCGCCTGAGAGAGAAGGTCTTGTCTCAGGGGAATGGGCCAGGGGCCTGCTATCAGCAACCGAGACAGCTCTGAGAACCAAAGCTGGTTCCTCCAGAGCGGGGCCGCTAGGAAGACCATGTGTTTGTGTTCCCTGATTCGCCTGATTTCCTGGGAAATCAAAGCGATCGGAGGAAAAGCGTAAAGGAGGAGGTTGGGCCAGTCGTAGGCCAACGTGTCCATGTCCTTCAAAAAGTAAGGTGGGCAATGAGAGTTGTCTTTTGAGGCAAAGAGGTCGATCTCTGCTTTGCCAAAGATCTCCCAGATTCTTAGAACCGTTTGCGGATGGATCGTCCACTCCTCTGACACGGGACACTGAGATGTCTGCACCTTGGTTCAATATGCCCGGCACATGCGTTGCCCTTAATGAGTGCAAGTTGAGGTATGCCCATTCCAAGAGTCGTTTTACCATCTTATTGAGGCGCTTCGAGGTGAGCCTGCCTTGGTGATTTATATAAGACACCACTGTCATACTCTCCAAACAGACCAGTACATGTCATCCCTTCAGGTCTGGTAAGAAGGTCTGAAGGGCTCGACATACTGCCAGCATCTCGAGGCAGTTGATGTGTAGCCGTCCTTCCGTGTCCAACCCGGAGCCGAAGGTCAGTCTGCCCTCGCACAAACCTCCCCAACCCGTGTTGGATGCATCTGTCAAGACAACCTTCCTTCTGTGGACAATACCCATGGTCACACCCCGCTCAAACCATTGAGGGTCTCTCCAAGGGGCCAGAGCTGCTACGCAGGCCTGGTCCACCTTGACTCGAAGGCGTCCGTGACGCCATGCATGGGGCGGAACTTGCGGTTTTAGCCAGTACTGAGGCCTAGTATCTTTTGAAACATCTTGAGAGGGTGAGAGGCTCCAATTTTGAAGGAGGCCGTGAGCTACTGAATGGCCTGTGCATGTTCTGGCGCGACTAACACCCTCATTCAGGTGAAAACTGCTCCCAGGAACAGAATCCGTTTAGCTCTTGGCAACATTGACCCTGAGTCCCAGGCATTCCAAATGGCTGAGGAAGAGGGATCGGTGGGATAGTAGCTCAGCCTCTGACTGGCTATGATGAGCCAGTCGTCGAGGTAATTCAGAATGTGAAGTCCCGTCTGCCTCAGAGGGGAAAGAGCCGCATCCATGCACTTCGTAAAAGTGCAAGGAGCCAGGGACAGCCCAAAGGGGAAGGACCGTGTATTGATAAACCACTCCCTTGAAGGTGAATCTCAAGAATCGTCTGTGATCAGGAGCTATCTGGATGTGAAAGTAGGCGTCTTTCAGGTCCAGAAAAAAAACCAGTCCCCTGGGCATATTGCGAGAGGATCTGTTTCAACGTAGTCATCCTGAACAGCCGTTTCATGGGGTCCAGGTTCAGGTTCCTGAGGTCGAGGATGAGTCATAAGCCACCATCCTTTTTTGGGGACGAGGAAGAAATGGCTGTAGAAGCCTGACTCGCTCTCAATTGGAGAAACCGTTTCCCCAATGCTTCCTTTGTTTTTCCATCAAATGTATTCTATCTAGGTGGTTGAATAAAAATATTTTGACTTTATATTTAATAATTACCTGTAGTTAGCATCAGGTAGCTAGTTAGCAAGTGTGGGGCAAAACGCCCCCTTGGTACAAATTAAATTGTTATTAAAAATCTAATAACATGGAAAAATGACAATTAACTATGATAACTATTCTGGACACATTTAACTTTTGTTTCACAGAAAAAAATACACAATCCTTAGGGGGGGGGGGGCT